CATCTTCTCCCCAGCAGCTGGGGATGTTCGTGCTGCAGCTTGGCGTTTTGTCCACCTTTTTGTCGGAACCTGTGGTCAAGGCGCTGACCAGCGGGGCCGCGCTGCACGTGCTTGTATCCCAGCTTCCAAGCCTTTTGGGGTTGTCTCTTCCGCGCCAGATCGGCTGCTTCTCTCTCTTCAAGGTCGGGGTGGGAAAACAGCGGAGAAGAGGCTTCTAGAGGTCTCGGGAAGAGGGAAACCCGAAAAGGGAGAAGAGATGAGGGTGAAGGGGTAGTGTGTGAACGGGAGGAAGGGAAGAGGTTGTAGAACTACAAGGCTACGTGGGGGCGCTGCGGATCTGGAAACCCTGGTGGCATCGGGGAGAGAAGGCTTTGCCTGGTCTGGTGGGTGGGCGCTGGGGGCAGAGAGGGGGCAGTCAAACCTGGCACGTGGCCCTTTGCTCACGGCCCCTCCCACAGACGCTGGCAGCTGTGCTCACATCGCTGCCCCGGAGCAGTCCAGCCGAACTGACCATATCGGCTCTCAGCCTGGCGCTGCTTGTGCCGGTCAAGGAACTGAACGTGAGATTCCGAGACAGGCTACCTACCCCGATTCCAGGGGAAATCGTCATGGTGAGGATGGCCTAGGGGCAAGACTCCTTGCCCCTCACATACCCCGCCTACCCTGTAGGAACTGGCTGCTGCCGCCCCCTTGTGAAATTCAGACAGATCACACAGTCATACTTTTCTAGGCCTCCTCCCACACCAGTTTGACCCTGAAATATCCCCATCCTCACTGAACCACTCCTCTCTCAGAGCCCCCTCTAGAACTCTTTTAGAATGCCTTCTTCTTCCTTGCAGAGCCCCCTTGCGGTTTCCCTCGCTTCAGCACCTCCTCTCACCGCTCCTCATGGGATCCTTCACTGTAATTCAGTGTATCTCCCTTTCTACTCCTTACCTAGGTTGCTCTCTTCCCAACTAAATAAATGTCTCCACATATTTACATGTGGACATTTACATGTCTCCACAGATTCCCCACATATGGCCAGATATGGTCCAGCTTCCCTGCTTAAAATGGCTGTTGCACCTCTTGATATTCTTTACCTTCATAGGAACTCCCTCTTACTTCTCCATAGCTCTAGGCTTACCTCATTATTCTTTCCCATGCCCACACACCTTCACTCTAAATGAGTTAGCTGTCAAACATCCATTCCAAACTGCCTAGATTTGCATGTGACCCTCTTTCATGCTGAGCCCCTTCTAGCTTTGCCATGGGCCCCATCTCCTCCTAGACCCCAACGTGGTGTCTTCCCCAGGTGCTTTTGGCCTCCGTGCTCTGCTTCACCTCTTCCTTGGACACAAAATACAACGTTCAGATAGTGGGGCTGTTGCCTGAAGGGTAAGAGAGAATGAAAAGACACAAGTACTTTTTTCTCTCACCTCTCTCACCAATATCTCCTCTTGTCCTGCCCCACCCTATTTGCTCTGCCTCCTCTATCTCCCTGCAGCACCCAACCTATCCTTACCATGGATCCCTCCCTTTCCAGATTTCCCCAACCCCTCCTCCCCAGTCTGGCTGAGCTGCCCAGGATTCTGGCTGACTCCCTGCCCATCGCACTGGTTACCTTTGCTGTGTCGGCCTCCCTGGCCTCCATGTATGCAGACAAGTATAACTACACTATTGACCCCAACCAGGTATGACTCCAACTGTGGACCCCAGCCCTATTTAGAAGACACCCCGTTAGCCTTATTCCCCTATGTATCTCTCTTCATCTCACTGCATCCCTCCAGGAGCTCTTGGCCCATGGCGTCTCCAACCTCATCTCCTCCTTCTTCTCTTGCTTTCCCAACTCTGCTTCACTGGCCACAACAAGCCTACTAGTGGACGCTGGTGGGAATACACAGGTAAGAGGGTGTCCTTAGGTGAGGAGAGACATTCAGGCTGGGATGGCTATAATGGAAAAACAGGTAGTAGATTTGTAGATACTCCAATAGCATCTATAGAGAGGAGAATGGGAATCAGAGGGAGGATGAGTGAGGGGATGGGATTATAGAGAGGAGAGATAGATGATAACAAGGCTCCATAAAGACCTTTGTAGAGTTTAAACACTGAAAAAAGTCTATGTGCCCCAGATCTAATATAAATAAACATAACACTAAACTACAAGTCTAAGAGATGAAATTCTTTTTTTTTCCCCCATGAGGACATTTTGTTTAGAAAGAAGTATCACATTTCAAAGTCTTCCCCTAATATTTTTTTTTTCCTCATTCTGCTGGTGCTCTAAGCAGTGATTAGCCTGCTTATAGGGTGATTCAACAGTGGCTTTTAAGATGGAGGTAGGCTGCAAAAATAGGAATCTTAATAAATGAACCAAAATAGGAAACAAAACAGATGAACTACATAACATCTGGGGTAGTCTGGAGAATGATGGACATTTAATTGAGGGAAAGGGAGGGATGTTGATAGCTGAATATCAAGTAGGAGGTTGAGGAGTGTGGTGTACCCATGTGGAAAGAGATTTGGGAGGAGGGGGACTTCTGAGGAAGATGAAGCAGAGCAGGCAGAGAGACCAGCTCTCTCATGGGGGTAAGGGATGCTACTGGCGTATCTACCAATCTTCTACCTGCCTTCCTTGCTTCCATCCCTCCTTCCCGCTAGTTGGCAGGCCTCTTCTCCTGTATAGTTGTCCTTTTGGTGCTGCTGTGGCTGGGACCCTTCTTCTACTATCTGCCAAAGGTAGGGGGCTGAAGAGGCATGGCCATATCAAGGGTGGTGGTGTATTCCGGGACATTGTGGCAGTCATCCCACCTCCTCTGCCCTAAGGCTGTCCTGGCTTGCATCAACATCTCCAGTATGCGTCAGATGTTCTTCCAGATGCAGGAACTTCCACAGCTATGGCACATCAGTCGCATGGACTTTGTGAGAAGTGGTGGCATTACCCCAGATTGCCCCTTCCATCTTCCCAGCATCCTCTGTATCCCCAGTCTCTACCATGGGCCAACACTAACTGTCCTGTCCTAAGTCCTTCAACTCATCCTCCACCACCACACACACTTCCTAAAACCATTTAAAGGGTGGGGTTTGAACTCCTCAGAATATTTGTAACCTCCCAACTGGCACAAGGTCCAAGGTGTATATCAGTGAGTCAGTCCTGCCTCTTCCTTCTACCATGCTTCCTACTTTTCTCTGCGTCCCCCTTTCCCTCACTTGCCTTGGTAGTCACTGCCATTGGATCAGTCTTTCTTCTGGGCAGTCCACCCCTATTTGTGTCCTACAGGCTGTTTGGATAGTCACATGGGTAGCTGTAGTGACACTGAATGTGGACCTGGGTCTGGCTGTGGGTGTGATCTTCTCCATGATGACGGTGGTCTGCCGCACACAAAGGTAGGCAAAAAGATGGGCAGAGTTGAGATGAGGAGAGAGAGAGACCAGGTATGAGGGGTAACTCTCTGGTCAGACCAGGTTAGGCTGAAAATCTGACCCCAGCTTTTTCCCTAGGGTCCAGTGCCTAGCACTTGGATTGGCTGAGGGAACAGAACTCTACAGGCCACTCAGAGAGAGCCATAGGGTGAGTGGGCTTTGGCCAAAAAAGGAAGAGAATATTAGACCTGGATGTTTCTATGACCCTCTCCCTTTTAGCTCCTCCAGGTCCCAGGTCTCTGTATCTTGAGATATCCAACACCACTCTACTTTGGGACTCGTGGGAACTTTCGCCGCATCTTGGAGTGGCATCTGGGGCTTGGAGAAGGAGGCAAGGTAAGGAACTTGGCCAAGGAGGAGAGTGAGTCTTCTGGGATTTGGAAGCAGATATGTTCTGAGGTGGGTTGTTGTGCTCAAAAGGTGTATACATTCTTGCTTATTTGGGGGGTCGTGGTGGCCACTCTTCTCTATTTATAGGCATCTCCAAAGCCAGATAACTTACCAGACACAGGTAAGATGGGATGACACGGAGGGAGATTTGGGCATGACCCATGCTGGTATCTTGGTACTCCTGCCTTCTCCCATCCTAGTTGCTGAGCCTGTCAGAGTTGTGGTCCTAGACTTCAGTGGTGTCACCTTTGCAGATGCTGCTGGGGCCAGGGAAGTGGCACAGGTGAGGGAGGGGGTAGGTTGACGAAAACCCATTTATCATCCTGTTTATATTCTGATTTGGGATTCAACCCCTCTGCTTCATCTCTGCAGCTAGCTAGCCGATGCAGGGATGTGGGGATCCACCTTCTCCTAGCTCAATGCAATGGTGAGTGGTATGGAGGATGGAGGGACTGTTGACTAGAGAATGACTGGACACTTGGGGGATAAAAGAGAACACAGTGTGGATCTAGGGCCCCAGAGCCTGATACTTTCCTTACACAGCCTCTGTGCTGGAGACACTGGCCCGGGCAGGAGTCTTGGACAGAGTGACCCCACAACAGCTGTTTGTGAGTGTCCAGGATGCAGCTGCTCATGCCTTGGAGAAACTGGTAAGGGGCAGCAGCATCTGGAGTGGGAGCCAGGAGGTGCTACACTAGGACAAGGGGGTGGGGCAGGTGAGTGCCTGAAGATTCAGAGAGTTTCAGGAAAGGTTTCGTAAAGAAGGAAGATCATGAAGGACAGGATGGGGAAGAGATGATTAGCAGATTCAAGACAAGTCAGGAAAACTGGGCCAAGCCATGAGTGAAGAAATAAAGAACTAATGTTCCAAAGTGGGTGGTGTGCCACTCAGAGCATTGCCAAATCTCCATGAGGGAAGGGGGTACTCAAACTATTCCCAACCTGTCCACTCTTGTCTCCAGGAACTCACTGGCTCAACGATTTGCACAGTATGGATATGACCATGTTACTTGGAGTATGAAGGTCTCCAATGATGTGTGTGTATGTGTGTGTTTGAAGAGTGCCATGATCCTTCAGCTCCCTTACCTAATATAATGAATAAAATGAAGCTGAAACCCTCTGGGATCCATGAAGTGGGTCTGGGTGTTTCCTCATGGAACCCGGGTGCCCCTCCTTCCCTGCCCACAGCATCACAGAGACACGAGTAAAAATGGCTTTCACGGTGTGTTCACCAGCCCCACCCAACTCCAGAGTCACAAGTTGTCTCTGTGGGGATGGGCTGGAGCTGGTACAGAGTCCTGGATCCCCAGCTGGGGGTGGGGAGGCACAGCCTTGGGATTGCACAATGAGGAGGTTTCTCACCCCCTCAGTCCCAAGGAGGCAAGAGGAGAGTGTTTCCACTTCAGGGTTTTAGAGTCCTCCTGGGCTCTTTGGCACTTGGAAAAATTACCACCCCCCATTTCCTGCCCCATAAGAATGGGGTGGGGGGAGGACTTGGCACTGGCTGTGGGAGAGGTTATGGCTCCTCAGGCCCCTGGGCACTCACAGAAAGGAGGGGTGTCACCAGGACAAACCCCTATTTGGGATCAGGTTCTGAAGGGGAGGGTGGAGGGGCAAAGTGGTCAGAGATCTTCAGAGGAGTGCTCATTGGATGAAAGGGTTGGTTGGACAATCATGGCAGGGACAAGGAAGCAGGCCCAGCCTGACAGCGGGAAGGCCCAAGTGGCCGTCACTCCGCGGTCATGCACTGCAGCCGGTGTTTGAAGTAGAGCAGGCGGTGTTTGGCCACCTGACTTTCGTCCAGTGATCCTGGGTAACGGAACCGGGCATAAGTCTCTGCCCCAGCATCCCTTGATACCCACGGCAGCTTCAGTTTCGATGCATGATCCACAACGACGTCGGAGCAGGAGCCAACCCGAAGGGAACCAAGCCCATCCAAGAAGAATTCTGGGGTTGGAGGGGAGGGGTGTAAATAATGAAGGCTCCTGACAGTGCAGAAGGTCAACCCACAAAGAAGAATTGGAAATGTAGGGTATTGAGGGTGCCTACAAAGACTCAATTTCTAAGAACTCTGGCATGCACATTAACCCTTCTGAGTCTCAGTTTTACTCTGTGTAAAACATGGCATCGATTTGCTTGTGCTTTGAAAATGGAAAGACATGACCTCCCCACTTTAAGAGGTTCAATAAGTGCCCCAAGAGTTGCTTTGAATGCGGTTTGAACCAGGAGAAGCGGCTGGGAGTGGAGTAAAGGGTAGTGACTATGGCAGAGAAGTTCAAGGTGAACCCAGCGGCTGTGCTAGGCGCAGGGGTCTAAAAGGAATGCGTGGGATGGAAGGAGAGGATGGGAGCTCTGTCTCTCGCCCGGGTGCTGGTCTTGGTAAATCCTTGCAGAACTGCTCCAGCGAACCCTGGTGACCAAGCATCGCCCAGTTCCTGCGGAGTGTGTGTGTGCGTGTGTCCTTCCCAGGCCTTGCCGGGAGGAGGCGCCACTCACCCAGATGTGCTACGCGGCTCAGGCGCGGATCGAAGCCGACCTCTCGCACCTTGTCAGTGCGCGCCAGAAAGAAGTTGACGACGCCATCGGTGACCACGCAGCCTGGGAAGCCAACGAGTTCGTGGTGGAAGCCACGCCTTTGCCGGAGGCAGTTCCCAAGGCCTGGGGCACCTTGTTCCACGCTCAGCAGCTGCCGGTAAGTAGTAGCAAAACCCGAAATCTCCCGCACTGCTCCCCCAACCTACGAGAATGGGAGGATGGTTCCAGGTGGGGCTAGGCTCCTAACCTTGCCACATCCTTTTCTGCTTCACCCGTACAGAATGCAGACCGCCCCCCAGACTCCACTTTGTGGACTCTCTTTGTGCCAAGGCTGGTAGTTCTCAACCCCACTCTCCCACCTGAGCCCTAACCTGTTTAAGGCCCTTCTACCCTACATTCCGCGTCCCCTCTCCTACCAGGTCCAGCGGCGTCCGCTCCAGAACGTCCACAAGTCTCTCCAGCCGCGTGCGCGCTGTGAAGACAAAGTCGTCGTCCACCCACAACACATATTTGGTGGTTACTTGGGACACGGCCAGGTTCCGGCCCGCGAACCAGCCCTGCAGAAAAGGTGTGTACTGTTGGCGCGTCTGGAGAAATAGAATATGCCTCTTTGCCACCCTTTCTTCCCCGCCCCCCACTCCTCACAAAAGCCTGTGCACCGCTCCAGACTTTCCAATGACCAGAAGCTAGGTTTAAAAAAATTCAGATTCCCATCCTCATTCCCAGAGGTTCTGAGTCAGTGTTCTGGGGAGGGTTTTGGAATGCATCTTATTCCTTCATTAATTATTTTATTGAACGCCTTGGTAGGCATTAATAAGCATCATTCTAAGAATGCAGAACGAATAAGAGAAACATAATTTTTTCTTCCACAGAGTTCACAGTCCAGGAATCCTCATGCTTAACAGGTACCCTCTGGAGTCTGAGGCTCGTGATCTTGGAATCACTAACCTGGCTGCAGACTGAAGAAACGCCCCCTCCCAGAGTCTTCTTGAGCCCCAGGTCAGCCTGGCTGACAGCATACCTTGCCGAAGGGCATAAGATAGTGCTCCACGTGGGGACCACTAACACGCTCTGGTTTGTCACTGTCATCAGCAATGACTACGGTGACAGTGGGGTAGAAGCGGCGGATGCTGGCGATGAGTGCCCGTAGCCGATCATATCGAAGGAAGGTCTTGGTAGCAATGGTGACCAGAGCGCTGATGTTGTACTGGCCTGCTAGGACATAGGGTTGGATGCAGACAAGAAGAATGAGGAAAGAGAAGCAGGAAGACAACCCTTATTAGGGCCACCCTGTCCCAACTTACTCCCCACCAGGGCAGGACCTACTACTTCCTTGCCCACACCAGCCCAACTTACTTCCCACCAAAGCTGTACTACTACTTCCCTGCCCCCACTATCCTCACCTCCCTGAGGTAGAGACCCAGGCGGGTACAGTCGGGGGTTGAGGGGATGTCTTATGCGGATGGTGAAGGCAGCCTCATGTCCTTGGGTGGAGAACCGGACTGGGGATAAAGGACATGAGATTGGGCCCTTAAAGTTGGGACAACATTCTTTTCAGTCCATTAATATTTAAGTGCCTACTCTTTGTCCTGCCTTTCTAGGTCTTAGTGGACAAGAATACTAGGTTGTTAGCCCCATGGAACTTCCTAATGGGTGGGGAGAAAGACAATGAAAAAGTGTTAATTAAAAGCTAAGCTTTTTTGAGCATTTACTATGTTCCAGACACTTAAATTATGCTAAATATATGAATTACTTTAATTCTCTTGATAGCCCCAGTAAGTAGATTCCTACTACAGAAAAAGAAGGTGAAGTACAGAAAAGTAACTTGCCCACATTTACACAACAAGAAAGCTGATAGGAACCTAGTCTATCTTGTCCCAGGCTAAGTAAGAAAGCTCAGATACTGTTTAGTACCAAATAGAAAATAAGACAAAGTAATAGTGTGGAGGAGACATTTGAGCTTAGATCTGAATGACAAGAAGGAGCCAGCCATGCAAAAATCTTGGGGAAGAGCATTTCAGGTAGAGGGAACAACAAGTGCAAAGACCCTAAGATAGGAGAAAACTTTATGTAACAAACTTTGGAGAGGAGCAGGAGGGCTGTGTTATGCCCCTTTTGCTAGAGGAAAAATGGGAGTTCTGGAAGTTAAGAACTTTGCCCTCTAGCAAGTGATGTTTTGGGAATAGAGCCTGAGTCTTTTGGCTTAGGAGCAGGTCACTTCCTGGGGCCTGTCATGGTTGGCCAGAAGTGGGGACACACTCAAGACTCAGGTTTCTTTCTAACCTGCTCTGGCCCCAGATGAACAAAGGCCCCTTCTCTCCCTCTCTGGCCCTGCTTGCCCTGTTGAAATACCCATTGTGTTGCCAGGCAGCTCTGGCCATTGCCTGGGTACCTCCCACACCCTGTGATATTTGCCTACAGCAGTTTTTCTCCATCTTTTCTGTTCATCCAGCCTTCCCCTACCTCTATACAGGTCTCACACCTGTGTCTGCTGTGTTGGTCTGGTAGCTTCCGCTACTGTAAGTGACCAGTTGTAGCTGCCGGTTGAGGTGGTCCAGCCCTGGGCTGGCAAGGGTGAGATCTGGCTGCCCTTCTCCAATGACAGTCACTCCAGTCACTTGCCCTGCCACATCCCAGGTGCCCAGGGAAGCAGTCAGGTTCACCTGGCAGAGGAGATCAGAAAGTGTAGGATCAGGCCCCAGACCCACCTCTTGTCTCCCTGATTCTTCCATCCCTCCCTTGATGGCCTTGTCTCCCTCCCAGCATTCTCATGCCCACCTGGTCTCCTTGTTCTGTTTTCTCTCACCTGGTATACCTCCTGACCAGAAGCTGCCTGCAGGCTCAACCCTGGGAGGAATGATGGAGGATTAGAACCACACAGACAACCCTAAATTCTTTCTCACTTTCTCTTGCCTCTTTCACCACACACAACATAGAACTTTTCACCCATCCATCTTGTTGAGGCTTCAGCAAGAAGCCTAGAGTATAACACAGCCTAGAGTAACTGATTTTTTACTTCCTGCCATCAAAATGGTATTTCTTTCATAGCCTAACCTACATATCCAACTAACTTTTGGTCAGTTAGCAAATAATAGATTCTTTTTCCCAAACCTCCCCAATTACAGTCTTCTGTAATTTCTGACAACCCTAGAATCCCTTCTCCCCCATCTCCTCCTCAAGTTCCCTTTCATCAGAAGTCATCCTCACCTTCCATTCTACCCAACCTTGGGCACTGCCACCCTAATAGTGACCCAGGCCATCGTCTTCCCCACCTGGCACTAAGATGCTCCTGAGGGGCTGAACCTCCACACCCTGCAGAGGATACTGTAGGGGGGAGTTGGCAGGGGCTATGAGCAGCTGGTCAGCTGGGGACTGGCTCCTGGAGTAGGAGAGGACAGAAGAAGAGAGGATACAGAAAGAGTCAGAAGGGCTTGCTCTCCTGGCTCAGTCACCACAATCCTTCACTACCATCCCCCACAAAGTCATGTTCTCCTTTCTCTCTAGTACCTTGAAAGGAAGGCCTGGAACTCTCTTTCCCTTTCTGCAGAGGCAGCCCTCAGCTCCTCAGGGTCAAAGGCCTTGGTGAGATCAATGGCTCGGACCTGTCTCTGGAAGGGAAGGGGGAAGCTCCCCCCACTGGACTCACAACTGCAGTTGTTCTGAGTCAACAGCCTGAAGAGGGGAGAGGGATCTTCAGAGTCCAGCCACACTCATCTCACAAAACACACTGGGCCCACACTTTGGCTTCTTAACTCTGCCCATCCAGTATGTGTTCCCTTAAACATTGCTCTTCAGATAATCCCCAGGAGTGGGAGATCATGAGTGTGACTCATCCCTTAAATCTGGAATTCACAGAGGTGTAGAATAGAACCAGTTGCTAAGATTTCAGGACCTACGAATTGGTACCCATCATTAAGGAACCCTTCTGGAATCTCTTTTCATGTCTGAATCTGGACATCAGAGAATCTTTCAAGGGCCTTCCTCTGCCTGCACACCCTCCCATTTCCACCGCCATGACAAGGTTCAGGGAAGACAAATATCCACACCTCCCCCAGTCCAAGCTTCAGCTACCCGCTCCACGTCCCACTTTACTCCACACAACCACTCAGGAGAAGGGAGGTACCAGAGCCCAGCAACAGAGGAAACAAAAGCTCCCCAGGCCACCCCATTAGCAAGCATTGTGCCGCTGCTGCAGTTGTCCGCACTCACCCCACCACTTGCTCCTTGATCCTGACTGGGATGTGTGCGTAGCGGGGCTCCGGGACAAGATCTGGCAGCTCCGGCCTGGGGGGGCCGTGCGGGGGCGCCCACAGAGCAAGAGGGGTCCGGAGGCCCGGCGCCTCTCGGGTGCTTGCGTACAGGAGACCTAGCGAGGCGCAGGCGAGCAGCAGGACCAGCGCGCACAGGGCCCGGCGGCCCAGCCGCATCCTGGGGTTGGGGGTAGGGAGGGTGAGAAACGGAGGGAGGGAAGGTGAGGTCTGGAGTCCTTGACCCCGGCGACCTCGGAGCCTCTTGAGGGCTCCCAGGGGCGCTCTCCGTACGTCGCACTAGGATTTTCATCGCGAGTCATTTTCCCGGTACCCTTCCCCTCATTCCCTCGGCCTCAAGGGTCTCCTTTCTTCTCGCCTTTGCCGCATCTCGTTTTCCTCTCGCACCCGAGGCCTGGCATCTTGATGCGAGAGGCATTTGGATGCTGTGGCTTCAACGCGGCCATGCATAAGTAGAAAAGCATCGCTTTATTAGAGCGGGGACATCCCTATGCCGCTGACCGCCCTGCCCCTCCCCCTCCCCCAGTCCGAGCATCACCTGGGCTGGGGTGGGCTGCAGAGGGGTGGCTCCACACCTTCCCGTCAGAAAAAATGCAGAATCACGCTCCTTCTATTGGGTGTCCCGGCGGAGGTGACCCCCTGGCTGGCCTTGGGAAGCTGCGCGGGGGACAGGATGGACTGGCGAGCGTGTCGCCGGTCGCCTCCACCTTGGCCCCTCATCCCGCCTGGGCACTGACCTGTCTAATGCTCTAAGGCCGCCGCAAGATTTCGGTGCCGACTGCTCCGGGCTTTCAGCCCCGGCCTGGGGGTCCTCATGGAGCAGGGGGTGGCTTTATGCGGGAGCTGGGCGTGCCTGAGAGTGTGAGGGATCCTCCTGCCTCCGGAGAACGCCCGACCCCTCCCGCCTACGACTCTCCGGGCTTTGTAGACCGCGGTGTGGAGGTGGTTCTGGTTGTCTCCTGCCGAGGGAAAAAAATTAAGAACCCGCCGCACCAGTTCGAGGAACAAAGCTGAGGATCCCTGGCACGGTGTCCCACTTTCAGGGCCCAGAGGGTTCAGGCCGCCGCCTGGCTTTCACACCGCAGCGCCTCGCGGCTCGGTTCCCAGGATGGTTGCGGCAGAGGCTCCGGCTCCGCGCCGGGAATCGGAGCGCCGCGGCGCCTTCTGGTGGGCGCAGAGGAGATCGCCCGGCGCGGAGCCAACCCGGGAATGTCCTCCCTCCTAGCCCCGCATCCCTTCGCCCCCAGACCTTTGGCTTCTCAATTGCCAATCCCCAACTCTAGGCATTCTGTTACCTATTCGCTCTGAGCATGTGGACAAAGATGGGTAATAGGGCATTGGGAGCGGGCGGACGCTCCCAACCCTCCTATAACCCCTTTCCAAGGATGGTTTAAGTGGTTAGGGTGAGATAAAGGAAACAAGCCCTGGATAATAAGCCCTCTGCAAGGCTGACAGAGACAGATTCACACCCTCCCCTCCAGACTCCACCTCCACTTCCCGCTCTGGCAACCCCTCCTACCTACCAAACACTCAGGAGGTAAGCAAAATTCAGGGGCCTATTTCCCTAACTGCCCCTTATGCAACTTGCAGCAGAAGGGGAACTCCAAAGAGCAACCAGTTTGGTAGTAGCTGTGCTGCCAAGCTTAGGCCATAGAAGGCGGACATTGTCCAGAATCAAAGAACTATGGTTCTGTGGTCCTCATAAAAGATGTATCAAGATTTAATGGGAAAAATATATAATAAGAAATGTAGAACATGATGAAAATATGTGCGTGGAGGGAAGGATTGATTATTTAATGAATTGTATACAAAAGAATGACTCATCAGCTGGGGGAAAAGGGGGAATCCCACTTTCCAAAATCAACCTATCAAATATTCTGTTAGAAATTAAACCATAAAAGTAGATAAAAATCACGTTTTTGTTTTATTATTTATTTATCTTTTTTTTTAGAGTGAGTGAGAGAAAGATAGAATTTTAATATTTATTTTTTTTTAGTTTTTCAGCGGACACAACATCTTTTGTTGGTATGTGGTGCTGAGGATGAACCCGGGCCGCACGCATATCAGGTGAGTGCGCTACCGCTTGAGCCACATCCCCAGCCCCTGTTTTATTTTGTTTATAATCTTGGAGTGGAGAGGAGATCTCTAAGCAGGAGATAAAGGGAAATATTAATAAATTTGCCTATATAAAAATACCTGAAGGGTCTAGGGGTATAGTGCTTGCCTACCATGCACAGGGTCCTGGCTGGGGTCCATGCCCTGCACCACAAAAACAAAAGCAATACTTGACTGAAGAAATTACTATAAAAAAAAACTTGTGAAGTGTCAAACTGTGAGAAAACATTTGCAATCTACTTTGATGATTACTCAAGTGAGTTTAGTTTGTGAAAATACAGAGTTGTGTATTTCACTGTACACTTTTCTGTATACATTAAAATACACAATAAAAATATGCAATATAAATATATCAATAAAACATTTAAAAATATGTGAGAACAATTATCTGATTTTGAAAATATTCAAAAGGTATCTCTTCAAGAAGTACACCAGTTGGGTGGGTTTTTTTTGTTGTTGTTTGTTTTTTTTTATGGTTATCTTGGATCACACATGTAGCTGCAGCCATGTAGCAGCTCAACTGGGGTTAGATGATACAAATTGCCTTCCTTGCATGATGGAAATTTGGTGCTGGCTATTAGCTGAAATTCTCTCTTCATGTGATCTTTCATCATCATCAGAGAAAGGACTTCATTATATGGCTATCTCAGGCCATATACTTTATTAATTTCAGGTTATACCTTTTGAGGTATTACTTATAATTCATGCAGTATTATTTCTCCATACACATATATATACACACATGAATGTCTGTATACATGTATGCATATATGTTTATGTGTCAAAGCAAGTCATCAAGCTAATCCAGATTCAAGGAGTTGTTAAACTGTATTTCCTGATTAGTGTGACTGCAAAGAATTTGTAACCATTTGTAATCCTCCAATATCACCAATGTCTTTTTTCTTTTTTCAAAGTACTGGAGATTAAAGAGCCAGGGGTTCTTTACCACTGAGCTACAGTCCCAATCCTTTTTTCTTTTTCTTTTTAAGAGAGAGAGAGAGAATTTTTTTAGTATTTATTTTTTAGTTTTTGGCGGACACAACATCTTTGTATACGGTGCTGAGGATCGAACCCAGGCTGCCTGCCAGGCGTCCCAGCCCTTTTTTTTTTTTTTTTTTTTTTTTGTTTTGGTTTTTTTAAGTTGTTGAGGCTAGCCTCAAACCTGTGCCTCAAGTCTCCTGAATTAATTAATGGCATGTTATTAACAGCATGTACCACCATGTAGGGCTCACAAATCTTTAACAGCAACAGGAGCAATTAAGTAAATACTTTTAAAAAGGAAGACTGTGTTAATAATGTGGTGTCAACATTACAAGGAGAAAAACTCTGAAATGGCAGAGCTATAAATGCTAAGGAGCCTTGAATTAAAGTCATCCCAATAACAATGAGCCACAGATACCCAGATCTTCCAATACCTTCCCCACCAAAAAGGATAGTGTAAGGTCAGCACCAGTGATCAAAAGGAGATAGATTAAAAGCAGCTGAACAAGGCTTTACTGAGATTTGCTCCTGGATGAGACCCTCCAGTCCAACAGAGGTGGTGTGGGAGAATTGCACCCAGGCTCAGTCAGATTGGGATTTTATTGGGTTTAGGGCAGGAAGGGAGCGCTTGGAACAAGAAAGGGAGGTTTTCAGTCTCTTGTGCTTCTGGGGTTGGTCTGGGGATCTTGCTGAGAACCGTGTCCTTCCAGGATTGGTCAGGAGACCCCACTGATTGACAGGTGGTTATGAGGCACTGCTTGTCTGTCAGCACCTCATTGGTTGTTCCTTTCCACCTGGGTTGCCTGGTGCTTTGTTTCTTTAGCCACCTCAAACCAAACCAACAGGTAGGCCTCCTTGGACTTACTCCAGGTCTCATGCCAGAGTTGAGACAGAAAAAGTCACAGAAAAACCTGAAATATCAGAAATTAATGAAGTGCTTTAAAAAAAAAAGTGGTAGGAGTATGTCAAAAGGACACACAGAGTGGGGCTGGGGACATAATTTAGTTGATAGAGTGCTTGCCTTGCATGCACAAGGCCCTTGGTTCAGTCCCCAGCACCACCAAAAAAAAAAAAAGGACACTCAGAGGAGCCAGCTTGAAGGGGCTTGCACTGGCTGAATCTATGAATTTAGGACAGTTTAAGCACCAAAATAATTTAGGGTAGGAATGAAATATAAACCATTGGAAAATAGAAATGTGTAAGTCCACAGTAAAACGGTAGGAATCATGTGTCCACACTGGTAATATATAATTAAGTAAGTGAATGAAAGGGAAGGGAGAATGCCAATTGAGAAATGTGGAGGGAATTGACAGATTTGGAATATAACCGTTTTTTGGCCATCTTGGTAAAGATTGGTTTGGGAGCCAGGTGTGATTGTATATGCCATAATCTGAGAACTAGGGAGGCCAAGTCAGGAGGATCACAAGTTTGAGGTCAGCTTCAGCAACTTAGAGAAACCATGTCTCAAAATGAAAAACAAAAAAGGGCCAGGGATGTAGCTCAGTGGTAAAGAGGCCTTGGATTTGATCCTTATTACCACAAAAATAAATAAATAAAGTAAAAATTGATATGGTCAAGAATCATCCATTAATCCTGATTCTTGGGGAGGAACTGATCAGAAGTAGGATTTGTACATAGTTGACTTATTTTAATCTTTATTATTTATTTATTTATTTATTTATTTTTTTGTGGTGCTGGGGATTGAACTCAGGTTCTCATGAGTGCTAGGCAAGGGCACTATCCCTGTGCTATATCCCAGCCCTGCACATAGTTTAAAGTGTCTCTTCATAGATGGTTAATTAGTCACAAGAGGAAAAATTGTAATTGCACAATGAAAAACTAGACAACACTTTGATAAGATGGTCAAAATTAATGAGTTGCAAAAGAATATGGTCTGCCTCCAGATATACTATCTTGAGAAAGACACGATATCACTTATGCAGTATTCTGGCTGGGGTTACTTAACTTGATTCTAAATATGAAGGAACAAACCCCAAATGAGAAATATTTGTATATATGAAATTAATCTGTATTTTAAAAAAATGTCATTTTCCAAAGAAAACCCGAGAAATTGTTCCAGACTAAACAAGACTAAAGAGACATGACAACAAAATACACCATGGACATTTTAACTTATAAAAAGTTATAATGGACATTTCGGGGAACAAGTGACAAAACTGTAATATGGATGATAGATTAGATAAAAGTTAATGTTTTATCTTTGTTAAAAGATAAAGAGCTGGGCATGGTAGCACATACCTCTATTTCCAGGTACAAGGGAGACTAAGGCAGGAGGATCACAAATTTAAGGCCAGCCTGGACAATTTAGGGATGCTCTGTCTCAAAACAAAAGAGGACTGGAGGTATAACTCAGGAGTAATTACTGGCCAAACATGTGTGAGGCCCTGGGTTCAATCCCCAGTAATGAGGGGATCAAGATAAACAGTAAATGTTAAATTTTTTGAAGTTGATTAATTATGATTATCAAAGAAAATTTCCTGTTTGTTGATTATCTAAGAAAATTTCCTTGTTCTTAGAAGATATACCATATAATGTTAAGCAGTAAAGTAGCATGATATATGCAACCTACTCTCAAATTATGCAGAAAAACAATAATGTATATGAGATAGATGTAATAAAATATGCATATGATACATGAAGTAGTAAAAGTATGTTAGTTTAATAATTATTAATTTATTATCAATTACATAAAATTATATATACATAGAGGAGGATGATAAGACAAATGTGAACAAATGCTAAAAATTGATGAAACTGGATATAAGCTACATAGGAGTGTTCTATATTATTCTTCAAATTTCTAAGTTTGAAATTATTTCAAAGTAAATATTCACTTATTTGTTTTTCAGTGATTGAACCCAGGGACACTTCACCAGGCCCACTTTGCCTTTATTTTTTCATCACCATTCCTTTTTGTTTTTTATTTTGAGACAGGGTCTTGAGAAGTTGGCCAGGCTGGCCTCAAAATTGAGATCCTCCTGTCCTGACCTCCTTACTTGCTAGGATTATAGGCATGCGCTATCACATAAATAAAAACATCAAAAAAAATCATTCTTCTACTTATGCTGGTTGAAAGTGACCGTGTAGTGCCTCTAAAAGCTGAGGCAAGAGGATCATGCATTCAAAGCCAGCCTCAGCAATTTAGCAAGGCCCTAGGCAACTCAACAAGACCCAGTTAAGCCAGTCACCATGGTGCATCCCTGTAATCCCAATGGCTCAGGAGGCTGAGGCCGGAGGATCAAGAGTTCAAAGCCAGCTTCAGCAAAAAGTGAGGCACTAAGCAACTCAGTGAGACCCTGTCTCTAAATATAATACAAAAAAGGGCTGGGGATTGGCTCAGTAGTTAAGTGCCCATGAATTCAATCCCCAGTACCCCCCCAAAATTAATTTTATTTTTATAATGGTATTATAATAATTAAAAATTTAATTTTTCATATTAATTATCCTATCTCAGCATTTTATTCTATAATGGCATTTAGCCTTAACGGATACTCTTTTTCTTTCTTGTTATAAGCATTGTGACTTCTCACTCCTGATACTTCCATATGTATCATCTAATAACAAGAAAATTTTCCTAAATAATCCAGTTGTCTCAATAACATCTTTTATTTTTTAAATGAATTTAACCTTTATTTTATTTATTTATTTTTATGTGGATCTGAGGATCAAACCCAGGGCCTCACTTGTGCTAGGCAAGTGCTTTACCAGTGAGCCACAACCCCAGCCCTTCAATTTTATAACTAAAAAAATTAAATTCCAATTGAAGATGGTTTATTGTATTTAATTGTTTTGTCTTTTCACTTTCTTTGAAGATTTTAAACACACGTAGCTATTTAAATTTTTTTCAGGTTGGTGGTTATTTCCATTTACTATAGTGTGAATTCTTTTGTTTACCGAGCATGTTCTCTTCCCTGGTTATTAATTTTCATAATGAACTTATAAATTTTAGTCCGCTAACTTTTCTTTTGTGTGAGTTTCTTGTACAAGTGTTCTGGAGGGTTTGTTATTAGGCAACGGAAACACCCTGAGGATTTCTTGCTTGGCATTAGGTGGCATATGATGTAGTCTGGGGTTGGGTTTTGGAATGGGTGATAATGCATCCCAAATTTTTGGAAATATTTGGGGAGCATTTTGTTGTTACAATGGCTGAGCAAGATACCAGCAATTGGCAGACAGGTGTCAGCTGAGTTAAAAGTGAAAAATGACTAGAAAAAAAACTTGTGTAACAAAGTTTTGCCCTTCTCTAGATGCCAACAGACAATTGTGAGGCACTGATTTAGGCAGAACTTCTAAGAACAGATCCCAGCCTCCAGGAACACACAACCATTGATGTCAGAAAAACAGAGGTCACAACTGCAGTCCGAAAACAGGAAGCTACTAACTGCAGAACCCCAAAGCCTCTGCCGCCATTCACCTTGGAAAAGCAGATTCCTCCCACTCAGGATCCTCCCTCCTCCCCCAATTTAAGGCCTAACCCAGTTTAGGTTTCTTGGGGAGGCATTTCATTGACACAAAGAACACTATTGGCAAGGGAGTTTGGCAAATGTAGTTTTTAGCACTCCAGCATAGCCAGATTCATTAGAAAAAGGTTGTATAATGGGTGCTAAATGTGCCAGTTCAATTTGGAGTTGTGAGGGGGACTGGCACATGTAGCACCCATTACACTACCTTTCCCTCTCTCCCAACTATGACCTTCCATGTTGAATGGCTTTGAGAATGTTTCCACAGTCCATGACTAGAATTTACATTTGACATGTAGAGGGGGATAATTATTTTTTCTTTCAGAGAGAATGTTGCTGATTCTGCCCTCAGTCAGCTGCAGGCTTGATCCCATTCATCACGGTAACCATGAGGGCTGGCTAGCCTTTTCCTCTCTGCTCTTTGCAATCAGTCCAGGCAAGCAGCTATTACTGAATAAAAGCCCAGCTAGGGGTCACTACATCATACAGTCAACCGTCATGCAGCAGAGTCTCCAGTGAGTTCTCAAAAGGGGCTGAGGTTTTTGGCAGCTGCTGCTTCTTGTCCCATCATCCCCACAGCTACAATATTTTCATTTCCAGTTCAAGGAGATGGTTTTCTTCCTTTATTTTTTTTGGATGGGGGGCATGGGGGCTTGAAATCTGTGGGGACAAGTGCATGTAGTATTGCATACATGGCATATGTTAAGGGCGTCTAAGTGGGAAACCACTCCCCCATGCTAGGCATGTGAGTGGCAAACCACTTACTCTTGAAGGCACAGCCCTGGGTGTGAGGCTGCGTGCTGCAGTCAGTCCACACTCTTGCTCCATGGCCCACTCCTCAATTGGTCACTGCAGGGACAGTTGGCCAGACATTGCATTGGTGGCTGCCTGTAATCTGCTTAGCTACTGCCTGAGTACATATACATGGTAACTGTGCAATATAATCAGACCTGCTTCCCGCTTGGTCTCCGGAAGTCTTGACTAACAACTCTGCAGCCACACTCTCCTCTACCCTGTTCCGTGGACCTCCTCGCTGGACGAGAGAGACCATGCAGAACTCAGGGGAACTCTACTACTGAGCTACATCTCCAGTCCCTTCTATTTTTATTTTGAGACAGGGTCTCACCAAGTATCCAAAACTGGCCTCCTACTTGTGATCCTCTTACCTTAGCCTACTGAGTAGCTGGGATTACAAATATGTGCCACTGCACCTAGCTTCATTACAGTAATTCTTGTGGTATCTGATTGTGGTTTGAATTTTCATTTCCCCTGATGATTCACTATCATTTCCTCTACCTTTTAGTCATTTGTTTATCTTCTTTGGTGAAATACCTATTCAATTTTTCAACTCTTTACTTGTTGAAAATGTTGAGTTACTATTGAGTTAAAGGAGATTGGAGGTTTTAAAAATGTGTTTTGGATACAAGTCCATTACAAATACATGATTTGTAAATATGCTCTCACAGATATTCCTTTCTTTTCTTTTTCTTTTATTTTTTATTTTTTGAGGTGCTGTGCATCAAACCCAAAGCTAGGCAAATGCTCTACCACTTGGCTACATTGCCAGCCCCAGGCTAGGATTTTAACATTAGCTTGTATTTTTGAGTATTTTAGACATTACTGGACATTCTATTTGTTCGATGTTATAGCATATGCTTTATGTCCCTAGTAAATAAGGCTGTGTACCACAGATGTTACTTCTTTACCAATTATGTTTTATATAAATACATTTATAATTTCAAATTATTTACATCTTAAGTGTCTAATAAGTGTTTATTAGTGGTAAAGTGGTGTAAATAATACATATTTGAGTGTGGTATCCTCGCAGATCTGCAAATGTGTTTATTACCTTAAGATGACATGTTTATTTACATATTTAATGTAATATTTACAAATTTCTCCTTTCACTCTATCCAACATAGCATAGCAAATAATTCAGGATGATAGAATATGTTATATATATCACTCTGAATTTATATCATATTACCTAGTAATTTATTTATAAGTTACACTTATAATGTCCATAGGATAAACCCCTAACAGCAGGATTTGTAAATGAAAGGAGAATGTGCATATTAAATTTGAATAGTTAATGTGAAGTTGTCATCCAGAAGATTATATCAATTTATACTCCCGCCACGTATTACTTCAGGGTGGTATATGTATACATATGTTAGGTCATATATAAAGCTATTTTCAATTTTATTTATTTATTTATTTTTTAAAATTCCATTTCTTTTTTTTTTTTTAGAGAGAGAGAGAGAGAGAGAGAGAGAGAGATTTTTAATATTTATTTTTTAGTTTTCGGCGGACACAACATCTTTGTTTGTATGTGGTGCTGAGGATCGAACCTGGGCTGCACGCATGCCAGGGGAGCGCACTACGGCTTTGAGCCACATCCCCAGCCCTATTTTCAATTTTATGAAGTAAAGCCAGACTGTTTTCCAAAGTGGCTTCACTAATTTATACTTTTACCAGCAATATATGGAAATTCCAACTATTTCATGCCCTTTTTCCCTTTTGTTTAAATTTTAAGACTTCTTTTTCTTTTCTTTTCTTCTGTTCTCTCTCTTTCTTTTCTTTTCTTTTTTTTTTTTTTAAAGTAGGGATTGAAACCAAGGATACTTTACCACTGAGCTGCATCCCCAGTCCTTTTTTAAAAAAACATTTATTTTTTAGTTTTTAGGTGGACACAATATCTTTATTTTAATTTTATGTGGTGCTGAGGATTGAACCCAGTGCCTCATGCATGCTAGGCAATCCCAGCCCTCCCCAGTCCTTTTTAATTTTTGTTTTAAATTTTGAGACAGGTACTTCCTAAATTGCTGAAGCTGGCCTTGAACTTGTGATCCTCCTGCCTCAGCTCCCAAGTTACTGGGATTTCAGCTGTGTGCTACCACATCAGCCTCTTTTATTCTCTTTACACTAGCTTTTGATGAAGTTCTTAATTTTTTTTTATTTTTAAAAAAATGTTATTTTAGTCATTGATGGACCTTTATTTAATGTATGTGGTGCTGAGAATTGAACCCAGGGCCTCACACATGCCAGGCAAGCGCTATATCATGAGCAACAAATCCAGCCCCAAGTTCTTAATTTTCAAAAATAAAATTTTCATAAATGAGGTGCTGAGGATCGAACCCAGCACCTTGCAGGCTCTAGGCGAGTGCTCTACTGCTAAGCCACAATCCCAGCCCAAGTTTCCATTCTCTTGAAGCAGACCAGGTACCCCAACCCAAAACACCCTTGCCATAATTAAGCTTCTTCTCTTGTCAGGTCAGCAGACCATCTGCAGAGGTTATTAGGGTTGAAGTTTCGTCTTTCTTGTACATGCCAGGTTTGTACACAAAAGGTATGCCAGTCTGCAAGCTTGTTGTACAAAAATATATTATCTCTGTTTTCTTGGTAATAACTTGTGAAACCTGTGTCTGGTCTAGAGGATGGAACAGAGAGCACTTATCATGTGAATCTCTGAGGACCTCTTCCCCCAGTGGGTATAAAGTTCAAAGAATTTCCAAAATCTTTATTCAGAGGAAGAATTCTTAGGTGAGAGCCACCTCTGAACCCTGCAGTCAATTAACCTTCTTCCTGAAAATTCCTTGGGTGTCCAGCCTCTTCTGTCCTACTTCTCTCTCTCAATAGTGCTGAGATGGAGACCAACTTTTTACCAAATGGACCTTTGGTTGACATTCCAAATCCAAACTGTACCTTAGGGTTTAATGTTTTTCCCTGATGGGCTTTCACTTGTCCCTGCACCATTTATTAAAAGTTTATCTGTAATACTTTTCCTGTATATCAAGTGTCTGTTTCTGAACTCCCTATACTATTCTCTTCATTTATCTTTCTCTGCACCAATATTATACTTTAAAAAAAAAAATCTTTAGGGCTGGGGTTATAGCTTAGTGGTACAACGTCTGCCTCGCATGTGAGAGGCACTAGGTTCGGTCCTCAGCACCACATAGGAATAAATAAACAAAGATATTTTGTCCATCTACAATTAAAAATTTTTAAAAATCTTTATTTTATTCATTTATTTATATATAGTGTTGAGAATAGAACCCAGTGCCTCACACGTGCCAGGCAAGTGCTCTACCACTGAGCCACAACCCCAGCCCCTAAACTGTCTTGATTGTTATAAATTTATAAGATGTTTTGATACTTGGTAGTTTAAATTCTCTCATCTTTTCCTTCACCTTCATGGCACTCTTAGCCATATATACCATAGAATTGATTTGCTAGGATCAACAAAAATAATTTACAATTTGATTGGGATTTCACTTCAATTGATAGATCAATTTGTGCAGAACTAATATATTCTCAGTACTTAATCTTACATAAATATAAACAAATGATTAATATCATAGAAATTCACATTTTCCAACCAACTTATTGATAGTGTTGTAAATTATTGATATTATTGTAAATCAATAACAAAAATGCCTAACAAAATACAATGTCTTTGGAAATTAAGACGTAGTAACTCAAAAGTCAAAGAAGAAATGAATATCTTTTTTCTTTTTTTTTTGTTCTGGAGATTGAACCCAGGGATACCTAACCACTGAGTCATATCTGCAGCCCCCTTTTTTATTTTTTAATTCTTATTTTTTAAAGAGAGAGAGAGAGAGAGAGAGAGAGAGAGAGAGAGAGAGAGAATTTTTTAAATATTTATTTTTTTAGTTTTTTGGCGGACACAACATCTTTGTTTGTATGTGGTGCTGAGGATTGAACCGGGCCGCACGCATGCCAGGCAAGCGTGCTACCGCTTTAGCCACATCCCCAGCCCCAGCCCCCTTTTTAAAATATATATATTTTAACTGTGGATGAACCTTTATTTTTATTTATTTATTTGTATGTGGTGCTGAGAATTGAACCCAGAGCCTCACACATGCTAAGCAAGAGCTCTACTGCTGAGCCACAACCCCAGCTCTCCAGCACTTTTTTGTATTTTAGTTAGAGATAGAGTCTTGCTGAGTTGGTTAGGGTTTTGCTAAATTGTTCAGGCTGATCTTGAACTCATAATCCCCCTGCCTCAGCTTCCTGAGCCACTGGGATTACAGGTGTGTGCCACCATGTCTGGCTTTTTTGTAGATCTTGCTTATGACTGAAAATAAAGTTTTTCAGTTTTCTCTCCAAGGACCTTCACAAATTTGATAAATTTACTAGGTACATTATGTCTTTGTAATATGTCTTTTTTTCCCTCAGTACTGGAAATGAACCCAGGGATTTGCAAATGCTATAGGTAAGTATTCTACCATTGAGCTATGATCATCTATTATTTTATTTAAAAATTATATTTTGAGACAAGGTCTTGCTAAATTGCCTAAATTGACCTTGAATTTGAAGTCCTCTGCCATGGCCTCCTGAGTAGCTGGGATTACAAGATGACCACCGCCATGCCCAGCTAATAATATCTCTTTAAATGTTTAATTTCATAATTTCTTGCTGGTATGTGGAAATGTGATTGATTTTGGTACATCACTTTTATATTTAGCAGCCTAAATATTCTCCTTTAATTTTTTGTGAGTTTAAAAATATAATTCTAAAAGAATACAACACAAATTACATGTAGACAATCCTGAGTTATTCCGAGAAACTAATTACTAGCCAGGTTAAAAGCCAGGATTTTGCCAGCCTCTCCACAAATCCATCCATGTGCCTTGTTCCAGTCTCAGCCCTACTCTCCCCCAAACTGACCATTTTTCCAGCTTTGTACTAATCACTTTTTATATTTTCTATAGTTTAAATTTCCAAATGTGAGTTCCTAGATGCTATTGACTTGCCTGAGACCTAGTTTTAGTTTTTACCTTTTATTTCACAATCTGTTATTGGCAAATTTTTTTTATAATTACAAAAAAGGGGGGGGGCTGTGGCTGTGGCTCAGTGGCAGAGCACTTGCCTGGCATGTGTGAGGCACTGAGTTTGATCCTCAGCATAGCCTATAAATAAATAAATAATAAAGTACATCAACAATTAAAAAATATTAAAAAAAATTTTTTAGTTGTAGTTGGTACAATATCTTTATTTATTTTTATGTGGTGCTGAAGATCGAACCCAGTACCTCACATGTATAAGGTAAGTACTCTACCACTGAGCAATAGCCCCAACCCTTATTTTTTTATAATTTTATTGAGATATAATTTACGAACTATAAAGTTCACCCTTGAAATGTGTAGTTTTTTGAGTTTTTTTTTGTTCTAATTACACATGACAGACAGATGCACTTTGATACATCATACATAAATGGAGTATAACTTCTCTTTCTTCTGGTTGTACAGATGTAGTCACACTGGTTGGGTGGTCATATACGCACATAGGGTGAGTTTTGTGTTTTTTATTTGATGTATAGTTGTACACTCAACCCAGCAATAAAATTTTAGAACATTCTGTCCCCAAAAAAGTTTTCCTGGTGCCCATTTTCAGTCAGTACCCTCTCCCACTCCCTGCCCAGCTAAACTTTGTTCTACTTTCTTTCTCTGGACATTTGCTTTTTCTGCACATTTTGTGGAAACTGAGTCATGAAATATGCATTCTTTTGCATCTGACTTTTTTTTGTGTTTTTTTTTCTTCTTTTTTTTTTTTCCTCTGGGGGAGAGGGTGCTGAGTTGTGTTGGGGATTGGATCTATGGACCTATGGCCTTATGCAGGCTTGGTAAATGTTCTACCTCTGAGTTACATGCCTATCCCTTGCTAAATTTTCTAGACTGTTTCCAAACCCTCAACTCTCTGAATCCTCCTGCCTCAGCCTCCTAAGTAGCTGGGATTACAGACAGGGGCCACCATACCCAGCTCTTTTCATTTTCTTTCTTTCTTTTCTTTTCTTTTTTTTTTTAGTTGTGGATGGACACAATATCTTTGTTTTATTTTATTTATTTTTATGTGGTGCTGATGATTGAACCCAGTGCCTCACCCATGCAAGGCAAGCCCTCTACCCCTGAGCCACAACCCTAGCCCCTCTTTTCATTTTCTTAATGATAACTTTTGAAATGAAAGCAGGCTTACTGGAAATGTCCCTAGATAGAAGCCTGAGAGTGAGAAATGAAGGGAAAGTGAGGAAAGAGAGATAGGTAAGCAAGAAATGAAAGACAGAGACCAGGCAGGGATACACACAAGAGTTTGTCAGAGCTGACAAATAAAGGCCATCTCTCTATAGAAGAGAGAGGCAAAACAGGCTTGAGATCTGGGACTTTTATTGGGGAGGCTCAGGAATCATAGCTGGTCGGGCCCTAATGTGGGCAGTTAAGGGTTGGGTTGGTATGAGGGAGTGGTGAGCCTTTCTCAGAAACGCCCTTGGGTGGGAAAGCGAAACTTTTTCCTTAAAATGGCGATGGTCACTTAAGATGGGGGAGCTGGGGTTGTGGCTCAGCACCACATATAAATTAATGAATAAAATAAAGGTTCATCAACACTAAAAAAAATTAAAAAAAAAAGAAAGAAAAAAGAAATGTTGCTGGGCCAGCAGTTTGTAGCTATACATAAGGCTTTCCTGGGACTTGCCAGGAGGTGTAACTGACTGGGCTTATGTTCTTTATGAGATCTTTGTTACCATACATAGGAGCCAGTGTCCACTGCCTCATTGCTGCTACGTTGGCAGTCCATCAGAAATCTTTCAACACTCTCTGGACTGTTTCTCCAAACAACAGAATTGCTATAGACTTTCTGGGAGGGTGTGTGTGGGATTGTCAACATCTGCTATACCTATGTAAACACCTCAAGCATTGTGTTTTGTTTTATTTTATTTTTATTTCAGAACTTGAAATTGAATCCAGGGGAACTTTAATACTGAGCTACAGCCCAATCCTTCTCAGTTTTTATTTTGAGACAGTCTTGCTAAGTTGCTGAGGGTCTTGCTAAGTTGCCCAGGCTGGCCTTGAATTTACCAGCCTCCTGCCTTGCTTTCAAAGTTGCTGGGATTACAGGCATGCACCACCATGCCTAGCAACACCTCAAGCATTGTTGAAACACAAGTTAGAGTTTTCTGAAAGAAGGCCTGCTGGTGCATATGGGGGTGGGGTGGGGGTGTTGCCAAAAGCTCAGTCCTTGTCTCCAGTGCCAATCTAATAATGAGGACAAGGTTTTGAGAAAAAGGAGAAACACAGCTAGCAAAGAAGAAACACAGGGGGCTCCTGTCCCAAAGGCTGTGTGATTCTGCCCATCAGCAGAAACAGGGGGTTTTAAAAGGGGTGATTCAGATAAAATGAAATTAGGGAGGAAAGATCAGGAAGGAGAAGATTAGAGAGGTTTAGGGAGAAGAAGATCAGAGAGGAGAGGATCATGAAGGAGAAAGTTAGGGAAAGGAAAATCAGGTAGAAGAAGGTTAGGGAAAGGAAAATCAGGGAGGAGAAGAACAGGAAAGAGGTTAGGAAAAAAGATCAGGGAGGAGAAGGTCAGGGAGAAGAAGGTTGGAAAAAAGAAAAAAGCATGTTAGTTTCAAAGCCACAGGGGTATAGTCAAAGCATCAAGTGAACTCCTGTTACAGGGGGCCGAAGGATCCTTTGACCTGATGCAGTCCAAGACCAAGAAGGAAGGCCTGGAAACTCCCTGGAGAATGGCTGATGAGAGTTCACACTGAAGAGTGAGTTTGATATCCCCTGGCAGCAATATATTCACCTGCTCCAGAAGAATCGAATTTGCAGACCCTGTAGCTTCCTCCTTTTTCCATCTTTTGTTTAACCCAGGACCCCAGACTAATGGATGTGCTGCCCACCACACTCAGGGTGGATTTCATCCCTCAGTTTGATGTCCTATATGCCAGTTGCCTCTGGAAATACCCTCATAAACATACCTAGAAGTCTTTTAATCCTAGGCATTTCCTAGGCATCTCTCAATCCAACTAAGTTGACAATCTCAATTAACCATTACAGCCTTTTTACTGAATCTCTAGAACCTGGGCTAGACCACTTCTTTGGGCAGGTCTGGCTGTCCTGCTGGTGGTAGTAGTACTAGGTGGCTCTCCTGGGACTG